AATAGCCGTAAATATAGGTAGATTACGGCTAAGCAGCTGAAATGTCGACTAAAGTTGAAGCTGAAGATTAAGCTAGTTAATAACTATTTTAGCTATAGCCAAAATCATAGAGTCGACTAGTTTAGCTTTAGATATGTGTGATTAGAGATTTGGCTCTAAACAAGCTAAAAACAAGCTGCTTAGCTCTTTTATGGCCATAGGCTGAAGCATTTGGCTGAATCGTAGGCCTAAATATTGTTCAAACTGAAGAGTTCTGCCGAAGTTTCAGCTAGAACTGAATAGCTGAGAAGTTGAAGATTTCCGCTAAAGCTTCAGCTAGAGCTGAATAGCTGAAAAGCTAATTGGCTTAAAATTTTTGCCGAAGTTTCGGCAGAAAAGTTGACTGGTTAAAGATTTCCTTCGCTATTTAGCTATTTAGCAGCTGACTTAGCTATACTAGCTATAGCTAGATATTAAATTAATTTAGGCTATAACAGTTTGGCTTTAGCTGTTAAGCTACTTAACAGCTGATTGAACTACACTTGCTAAAATTATAGCTAGTATGGATTTCGGCTATAAATTTTTGGCTATAGCTGTTTACATATGTATATAAATCTAGCTACTTTTATGCAGTTGCTTTATAGATTTAGCTATATTAAAGCTGTTTTTTCATAAATCTAGCTCAGTTTAGGTCTACATATCGTCAATCATATAAAGATATTGACGTGGCTATTTAAAGCCACATTTCAAGCTATATTTATGAATATACTATAACGGCATATTTCTGTTGATAATGGTTAATGGTTACAGAAATCGACGGTTGGGCTCTTTGACCCGCTTGAAGCACCCCCGGACAACTATGCGGCTTTTGACTGTCCCTGAGTTGAACTCAAGCTGTGGTGGGGTCGTAGAGCAGAGCGGCGGCAGGGAGAGAGGGAGGGAGCTAAGCGGACTTCTCCTTGTCATTGTCAGTTGCAATTAATTAAGCTTTAATCATGTCTTGGCCATGCAATCACTTTCGGATCTGTTGCAATCGACAGACGCAGAGTTCAAGCCTCAGGCATTCAAGTTTCTGCTGCAGCAGCGGTAGTGGCAGAGGTAGAGGCAGCGGTAGTGGCAGCGGTAGCTGCGCCACCTCTGTCAGCTCTGTCAGCTGGTTTCATGAATAGCTTACAAATGACTCGCACCACTCAAACCACTCGCAGACGACATTCATGTTTCAGTTGGCAATTATGATTGCATTGAAATTCGTTTCATTATTTCTTGGATTCTGCGCAATATGTGTTGGAGCACTCAAGATTAAGTTATCGAATAAACTTATCGATTGTTGTACGTAATTCCAAGGGCGATAAGCTATATGAGATGTAAGCGATCTCTTAACTAGCTCTAATGAGGCATAAGTGCAAGCTTTTTGATTGTAAGAGACATGAGAGAAGGAACTGTACGAATAGCTCTGAGAGCTCAGCTATAGAGGGAGAGAGAGACAAAGAGGGAACGAGTGAGAGCCAGAGAGAGTGAGAGAGTGAGAGATATACAAAGAGGGAACTAGAGAGAGCCAGAACGATAGAGAGATATATAGGATAAAGATGAATTGTGACTTCAGAGCAAGAAAGCTATAGAAAGACAGAGAGAGAGACAGAGAGGGAGAGAGAGAGAGAGAGAGTGGGAGAGAGAGAGAGAATGAGAATGAGAGAGCAATAGCAGCAGTAGTTATACAGACGAACTGAGAATGACCCAAAGAAGAAGAAAGAATTAGAGAAAAGACGGTGTTTCGCAATGGGAGAGAGAGAGAGAAAGAGAGAGAGAGAGAGAGAGTGAGAGAGGGAGAGAGAGAGGAAACATGCAATAGCAGTTACAGAGCCAGATTAAGAAAGAGACAAAAACAGATGGCGAAGAAAAGAGCCACAATAGGGCGAGGGTGTTCCACGAAGAGTGAGAGAGGGAGAGCGAATAATGATGCATCTTACATTCCCTTTCCGTGTGGCAAATGTCCTCTAACACAACTTCTACACTTCGCCTTCGGAATTTTGAAGCTAGCGAGAAAAACAAGCAAGTACTCCCCTCGGAATTATGAAGTGGCGTAACTTCTGCGGCTTGATATGGACTTGTTTTATGAACTGCAAGCCCGACTTCGGCGCTGTTTGCCCGGATAACCCTTCTGGAGCGGAGGCAGCAGAGAAAAGTTTTCATTGCTCATAAATTTTAACGCACTTGGCAATAATGATATTATAATCATTTATTTCTGCTGTCGCAGTTTTGTTTTTTTTTCGCCCCTCCTCTTCTTCTTCTTCTTCTTCGTCATATTTTTTATGGCCAGAAGAAAACAAGTCCAAAATTTGCGTTTAATTTAAAAGTATTTTATTTATTTTTGCATTTAGGTTTTTTTTGTTGCTTTTGTCTTTGCATAAGCGCAAATTATGAACAGCAATAAAAAAGTAACGAAGAAAACAACAACAACAATGGCAACAGCAGCAATCTGCAGAAATGCCAAAAAAAATTAATAAGAAGCCGACGAAGCTGTGAGATGATTGCAAACGTCTCACAGGCAGAAGCTGCGCCGTCAACTCTTGCGTCGACTGCGCCGTCGTCGTCGTTGTCGGCGTCGGCGTAGGCGTCGACTGCGGCGACATTGCTTGGCGCTAATTTGATTTTTGTTGCTTTATCGGCGCCGCGGCGACTGCAGCTGTTGCAGTTGTTATAGTTGTTGTTGTTGTTGTCGTCTGGGGAGTTACATTTTTGACATTTAAACGTGTTTTTGGCACTTGACGCCGCCCGTTACTGTTATTGTTGTTGCTTTTTTCACTTTTTTTTCGTTTGCCTTTGCTTTACTTTTGCTGCTGTTGTTGTTGTTGTTGCTGCTGTTTTTTGTTGGCTCTCTTCTTTTATTGTTCAATTTTTATTATCTTTCTTGATTTGCGTTTTGCTGTTTTTATAGCGCTTGCCTGATTTTGTTGTTGTTGTTGTTGTTGTCTTCTGTTTTTGTTTTTGGTACAAGTTTTCACCACTGTGGCCCACAGCGCCAACCCTTGCCCATGGGTAACTCGAAAATCTGGTGTCCACTCATAGAAATTTCTCAGCCGAATGCAAATTTTACTTTTATGGCTTGGCATGCTTTGGACTTGGCTATTTGCTGCTGACTTACTTACTATCTCTGTATGTCTCTCTCTCTCTCTCTCTCTCTCTCTCTCTCTCTTCTTTCACATTGTATCCCCTCGCTTGAAATGGGAGAAAAACAGAAATTTGATTGCAATTTGGCGCAGTGTACGAACGCACTGTGAGTGATCCTGGCTTGGTCTGCGGGCCGACAAATTGAATGTCAAGTTGAAATGGCAGAAACCTGTTTGATTTCAAATCAACGGCAGCCAAAATAACGATTGAAATAGACACAAAGCGTTGCGTGCGTGGGGGCGTGGCATGTTTAGGGTCCACACTGGCTGGGACATATGGCGTCCATTTCTATTTTTTTTTTGTTTTTTTTTTGTTTTTTTTTGTCATTTTGTTTTTGGTTCCTTTACTTTGGCTGACATCGATTCGGGCGAACGCTCATCGAGGCGTAGAATTAAACTGTCAAATTCAACAAATAACTGGATTTGTTACATCGAATGCCGCTGCACGGCAAATTCGAAAGGAAGGCAACAGAAAGAAAGAGAGCCAAAATATTTCTATGCGCCAGCCCGCACATGGGTCAAAATTTGCCAGGAAATGGCAAATGGGAAACGAGCCATAGCTTAAAGCTATTTAACTTGAGCTCAGCTTCTACAATATTCCAGAGAAACTCATCCACTGATAAAGCTCTATATATATTGTATATATACTTATTTACTATATAAACAGCTTTAATCATCACCCGATTTGGTTGTTGTGTCAAATTTTATGTAAGCACACACAAAAGCTCTGGCTGGAATTATACTCAAGGTCTTTTAAATGGGGTATACATACAGATATAAGTCTGTATATATATATATATATCTGATACGCCCAACACTTACAGCCGCACTTCCTCTCGGCAACAATCGTCGCAAATAGACGCAAAACATTTGCGCATTTACAAATTTGTTTTGGTTTCGTGTTACAAGAACTCAAAAAAAAAAATATATATATATACATATATCAAACTCTGATATGAAAGCACATAGCACACATTCCCAGTTTCAAAATCGTCTAAGCAAAGTATTTTCCTAATTTACCAAATGTCGTATATAGAAATTCTGAAATAACGTAGCGAACTTCCATGAAAGCACATTAAAGCTGTGTCTAAAGCTAATATGCAGTGCTTTCAGTATGAAGTAGACAAAATCTAAAGCAGATTAAGAGTTGAAAAAGTTTGTAATATTACTATGTATATCATCAAATCAGGGTAATTCTTGTTTTAAAACTATTTCCAATGTCTAGATCTGTAGATTTTACTTTTAAAGTACTCTTAAATTAGTTTTTTGTCACTTAAGTCAATTTTTATTATGAAGAATGCCAAAGCTGAAGCATATAAAAAATACAAAAAAAATGCTTTAAACATATTTATGAAATTAGAATAATTCATATTAATAATAATAAAATAATAAAAAAAAAAATAATGCACTTCTATCATCAATTTATGAAACTAAGAAAATGCTTGCTATAAAATATAACAAAAGTTTTTAATATAACTTTCAATTCGCACTGCTCGACTCCTGCCACTGAAGCCCTCAGCATATTGAAGCGTTGTCTTACGTTACTCTGATCAATTTTTATTACGATAAAGGCAAAAGCTGAAGCACATAAAAAATTAAAAAAGCTTTCATCATCAATATATGAAATTAGAAAAATTCTTGTTATGTAACTACTTCAAGTCTCTAAGCTCAAGTGCTTTAAGCTTAGCTTTAACACTACCGTAATGAGCTCTTTAAGCCAAATGCTTAAGCAACTTTCAAACCCGAAAAACCTTTGACTAGATTACGAATTGCAGAAAATTTATTTAAAGTTGATTAATTTCGTGTTTCATATGCTGACTCTTCTACTTGTTTTTCCATTTGCCCTTTTTGCAGCCATCCGTCTGAGAGACTGGGGGAGAGAGAAGGGAGATACGCACACATCCTGCGCCTGGATTGTCAGCCACACTTCAGAGCAAAAAAGTGTTGGTGCTGCATTTGGTATTCCCGCTGTCATTTGACATTTATGTCGCCTGCTTCTGGGGTGAGTAGTGTAATATATGAATACACGGAATCCACATAAATATTGATGAATATTTTTTGGATTTTTGTTAATTTGTTGCTTTCGCGCTGATAAATATTGAAATGTGAAGGGGGCTGTTGGAACGGCGGGGGGGCAGGGGGTGGACAGTCGAACTGCATGATTGTGAATGGTTGAGTTTGGCTTCTGATTGAAATTTATTTTACTATAAATATTTTGTTTTGCTTCAGTTGCTCGATTTCGTTTTTCGCGCTGCTGTTTTAGTTGATTAAACACAATTGTTTACTCGCATTTTTTTCTGTTTTATTTTATTTTATTTCATTTCATTTTATTGAATTTAAATTTTTGTTGTTTTCTTTTTTATTTTTATTTTTTTTTTTTTATTTTGCTGCAAATGCATTTTCTGGCAGAGCTTTTCTTTATCACAACTGCCATAAATTACGCGACTGCGCCGAAATGTTCGCTCTCGCCATGCATAAATATTGCCAATCGACAGCAGCAACAGCAACAGCAACAGCAACAGTTGCTGCTGCTGTGCATCGGCATAAAAATTACAAAATCCAAATTAATGAACTCTCGGCGCTATTAAATTGGTTCAATAACATTTCAATTGCGTTGACATAATTTTAATTAAAATAAAATCAACTACAACAACATATAACCGAAACCCGAAAAGGTACAACAAAAATCCAAAACACACAATAATATTGGATACTCGCAATGAATTTCAAGTGGAGTCCGAGTGCGAGTTCGCTGAGCTGTCGAAATCGAAGCGCTAACGGGGTTATCCAACCAGCGCTCTTTGCGCGATTTGCATTTAATTGCATTTACCAGGGCTGCATGCCTAATATGACCGCCCAGCCACCCCCAAAGTCCCACTAACCGTGTCGCCCCCGCTTAGTACCAGACATGCGGCCAAGGTGGCCTCCAGCTGCCACTGCCTCAGTGTCTCACTGTCCCACTGTCTCACTGTCGCACTGTCTCACTGCGAGAGTCGAATGCCGCGCACCCGGAAGCGATAGCCGCGCGGCCAGATAACTGACCATGTGCCCGACGTACAGTGAGTACTCGGAATACAGAATGTGTGTGACAGAATGAATAATAATAATAAAGCGCACAGCCACCACAGATCGTCGCCACGTCGTTGACGCACTTGCCCCTGCTGCAGCCGCTGGCACTTGCCCCTGAGTGGCTCGAACTCTGCAGAGGGTATGCGCGACTAACAGTTAGGTGGGGCAATTCTTATGCCTCTTCTACTCTACGATTGTTATGGATGCCATACAGAGAGTGAGAGTGAGAGAGAGACAGAGAGAGCAAGAGTACTTTATCGTGTCTTCAAGTGGATTCCAGATATTCCAATATAGTTATCCAACTGGAATACCATCCCCTATAAGAGCTCTCTTCTACAGGGCATATTTACGCAAATCAGTATCTCTACATCACATACATGTATGTAATTCATACATATGGAAAGGCCCATGCCATCTGCATATGTGAGCAAGTCCAAGTGCGATAATGTAAGCAGAATCCAATTCAATTCACGCAGCGCTGCCAGATCTGTAACAGATTTATTTTTAGCCAGATCAAAGTGGAATTGAAATAGAAATTATCAGATTGGCATTTAAATAAATAAATAAAGGTAAACAGTTTTCAGCTTTGCAATATTGTGAATGAATGCATAATGACGGAGCCAGCGAATGGTGGATCGATGCTGCCAGCTGGTCAAAAACATATGCCTGTCTATCAGCGCTCTGGCAACTCAGCCCAAAGGCCTAAAAGGGCAACTGTCTCAAAATGCTAGGAAATTGACGAATTTTTATGTATTTATATTTATATACCAAATAATGGATCGTTTTTTCCTATTTATGTCTTTGAATACAGTTATGTAATTATAATATAGTGAGATAGGCATGAGGTATAACAAGGTATAAGGAGTTAGGTATAAGAATAGGGATATTTTTTACATTGAAAAATAAATTGAGTGTAAATATAGTGTACAGTTATACAAAACTATTGTATGTTAATCAAGCTATCTGCTTAACATATGTATGTCTAACTTTTGGCTTGAATTTGCGTTTCGTAAAGTATTTCTGTTTTATCAAYTCGAGTTTCTAGGTTCTCGTAGTGCTTGAAGGTTCTCTTGTATGTATGTATACTATGTATATGAAATATATATTATATATTCCCGAAGATGTTTAGGTGACTGTGTTGATGTTAGAGGTTATACATCATATGATGATAAAACAGAAATACTAATATTGTCTGATATATTGTATTCTCAGGCTTAACACCAGTTTCGCGTATTTAGGGTTATTCTAGTTATGCCAATTTCTATTAGTTTGGCTTCACTATTAAAGAATTGAAAATAGTAAAAAATATATTGAATATTGCATTCTGCTTCAAAAAATTAACTTTAATTTTTAAACTATAGCCCAAATCATATCAAAAATCTCCCCGCACAATATATAATTACAGGGTATCATTGAGTTTAGACCTGCTGGCAGCCCAACACAATTCTTTAAAGTCAGCGTAAATTGCAAAAGAATGAAAGTAAATAATAATGTTAATAAAAAAATATTTTAAATAAAAATGAAAATAGTTGGTGGTGCTTGGTGGCTCGTTGTAGTTCATGGTGTGGGTCAAGTCGTTTAATGTAATAATAATGATAATTATTTATCAATTAAGCAGCTACATTTAATTCAATTTAATGCGAGTATATTGAAACTCTTCTTGCGTTTATTTTATATTTTTTTCATTTTTTATTTTTTATTTTTATTTTTATTTTTTTTTTCCAACTTTTCTTGCTTAATTTATGCGGCAAGAGTTCAATTGCGTTCAAAATGTCAATAATTTGCTGCGGTTGTCCGCTGGGTTATTGATACATTTGCTGTTGTTGTTGTAGTTGTTGTTGCTGTATTGTGAATTGTCTCATGAATTTTGCATGCGACAATTTATTATTGATTTACTTTACAGCGCTGCCAACAACAGCAACAACACCAACAACAACAAAGCTAACTAAACATAGATAGAAGCATATCCAGCCTGCCTGCCTGCCTGCCTGCCTTTGTTGCCTTGTCCAAAATGCCTGCCCCATATAATCAACTGCCCTACACACACACACACACACACACACACATACATACATTTGAATTGTTTGCACATTTCCATTTGCTTCACATGGCAAATGAAAACGTGTCAAAGGTGTTTGCAATTTTGCAGTCAATTGGCATTAATTGAGTGTGAACACAAAAATATTTTGTAAATGGTCATTTCACTGAGTGTGTCAGTGTGTGTGCGTGTAAGTGTGTGTGTGTCAGTGTGCGTGGCATGATGTGCTCGCAAAATGCGTCGCGCAATATGCAAATTGATTTACCGAACAATTCATTTGGCAAAATGTGTTGCATAAGCCGCTATGGAAATTCGAGGCCCAAATGGCAAATGGCCGCCGCATTGCCACATTTCTGCTGCAATTGCCAATTTGCAGCAAAGCCAAAGTGCAACAGCGCACTCGGCTGCCTATTGACTTCACTTGTAGCTCCTAGGCGCAGCAAAACTAAATAAACAATATGAAAACCCATTTCCCATGGGCGACATATAAAAATATGAGATATATACTATATATACAGCTCTCTCTCTCTCTCTCTCTCTCTCTCTCTCTCTCTCTCTCTCTCTGTGCTAATCTAATTGCCTGTTGCATATTTTGCCGTCAAAAGTTTGCCAATACTAATTTCATTTCTGGCATCGAGCTCCACTTGACTCCAGCAGACAATTGGATCCAAAGGCAAAGGGTAGGCCCTTAAATTTCATTAGATGTATGCCAAAATCTTGTCGGAGCAAAGTTTTATCAAACGCATTTGGTGTTTGGTTTCAGGGCAAGGCAAATTCATCTAATGGCATTTTCGAAATTGATTTAAGAACTTATTCTTGTAAGGGCATTAATATTTTGTGTTTTTGTTTAGACAGGGCTGTTCACATTAGATGCACCCATCTGGCAACGCCATATCTTTTAACAGAGATACCATAATAATTGTGTTCTTCTTTTATTAAAAAGGGTTGTAGGCTTGTCAGCTGTGTCCGTCGCATATGGACAGCCCTGTATAAACTTGTTTATCATACCCTGGAATAGCCGAAGTCGAGATCAAAGGCAAGGGGCGTCGCTTGAGTGCTATAAATATTGATCTGTACTTAAGCATCAAGTAGTTAATTTATCGTCTTTTAAATATCCATTAGCTGAATCTCATATCACTCTCAACAACCCTATCAATATGTGCTCATCGATATACTTATCTATACATATATACATACACACAGTGGCTCACAGCTTATTTCAGCCAGCACGTTAACAAAATTTTATTGGTCTATAAAATCGAAACTATTGGGGATATGCAACAAATTTAAGCGCAGTTTGCTAGTATGATGTTTAAACTAATACAAGAGTAACTCAGTTATTTTAAAAATATTTTTTCAATATTTAATAATGCTTAAAAACTAAAAATTAAGAATTAAAT